AGTGAAGGAAGGCCCAGCAATGCTATGGAGGAAGGGGTGGCATCCCTCCCAGAGCCTCCGGTTGCCAAGAGCAAAGTCTGGAATTTGGTTTCCATCCAGACAAGGCTAACGGAAGAGGCAAATCGGAGCCCAAGGGGGATTAATTTCCAACCAAGGGCAGAGGCATGCTCCCCAGGGGAGTCCGTGAGACCTTCTCAAACCCTGGGGTGGAGGGTCCCACAGTGGTGACTTTGTCCGGGTCAGCTGCCCCCACCCGCAGCCCCTGGGAGCCACTCCCCTCGACAGTCTGAAACCCACCTGAGTCAGCTCTGCCATTTGCCGGCTGTGTGGCCTCAGTCTCCTCCCCTGTAAAATGGGATGATAGCACTTCCCTCCCACCCACCTCTGTCACAGGAGGGAGTACAGCCAGGATCTAGGGTCTGATGAGAATGCAGATGGAAATTTCCCAGTTCTCAGTGGCAGCTGAGCCTGGGCTCTTCTGTAAGATTCCTTCTGACCCACTTATGTCTTTAGATGTTGGGTTTTCTTCAAGTGAAGCTCACCGTTAACCTATACCCTGCACCCTAACAGAAAACTAGCACAGCCCTGCCCCCCTCCCTCCTACTCCTACCCTGACCACCCCCAGCCTGACTGGAGAGAGAGGAGATGAGCTCTGTCACCATGCTCTCCACTGTCCGTGTCCTCTAAGGTCCCAGCCCCAGCCCTGCAGGCCTGGAGCTCCGGCCCTGATGATCTACGCTGCCCCACCAAGCTGCCCCACCAGCTGCAGGACTGAGGGGAGTTGAAAGCTGGAATTTAAAGGGCCGCCCAGGACCCAGGGCCCCCACCGCATGGGTCTCCCCACAGTCCCTGTCCTACCCAGGTTGGGGGTTGGGGGAGCAAAGCACAGGAGGATGAAGGAAGTCCCCTCAGGGCCAGAAGGATATCAGCTTATGTCGAGCACTGGGCCAGGAGCCCGGCATCCTCGGTCCTTACATCACACCTGGCAGCCCAGACTCCCATATTGGCAAGCCGAGTTTGCAGAGTTGGATGTCCAGGACGAGATGGGGTGTCACAGCCATGGTCTGCCCCATATCACTGCCCTCAGCTAGCCATGGGTCCGGGACCCTCCAGGTTTTGGAGGCTCCAAACAGCAGAACGTGGGGTCACCTGTGTCGGCTTTCAGGTCAGACATGGCTGTGTGACTTTGGGCAAATGACTTAACTACTCTGTGCCTTCTCAGGCCAAGGAGCCTGAGAGCCCTCCGGAGCCACGGAGTTGCTTTACCCTCCTCCATACCATCTGCACAACTCTGCTTGGTGTTTTCTCCAGGGACAGGACAGAACAGACTTCTGGGGGCGCTGGGACAAGGCAGTGGAACCCACTCTGCAGCCACAGCCCCCCCTGACCACAGCTACTCTGTCCATTTGCCAAAGAGCCAGCGGTGTGAGAGAGGGTCTGCAGGGAGCAAAGAGTCACGCTGCCTGCCAGGAGGTTGCTTAGAGCTCATGGCCCTGTGTGTGTGTGTGTGTGTGTGTGTGTGTGTGTGTGT